GAGATAAACAGATAATTGCTTGTACGGATTTTCGCATTGTGTCGAAATCGAAAACAGGAGAGAGTTATCGAGTTAATGAGTGGCATTTTATTGTCGAGATCTCTGAATGCAATCGACCGTGACGATGGCTGGTAATATATCACGCGAACTTCTTTAGCAATTATAAGTGAGAATTAAGAGAGATAGGTGGTCGATGTATGTCGAGGAAGGGAAAGAAAAAAAGAAAAAAAGAAAAAAGAAAAAATTAAGCTACCGTGGAGTTGAGCACGATCATTGAGCAATTCAATGATTAAAGAGGCGCGAGCAGAGTGAAAATCGCGTGTTCGTGTTTTCTAATTTGCATAAAAAGCCGTTTTACTCTAGTAATTCAGCACCTTGTTACGCTATTGGCATACAGTTCGAATTTCTTCGCCAAGTGAGTATAATTTATTCGAGTATTGACAATCTTTAAAAAGGGAAACGGATACAATAAATATACAGGATGTTGATATATATTCGTAGAATAGGGATGTAAATTTTCAAATATTATAACAATAAATAAATAATCTCAACATTTTTTCCCTTTAGAATCGATCTTGTATCTTATACGAATATAACAACACCTCCACGTAAGATGGAAAAATATTTCAAGATATAAGCTATCTTTTTGTTTACGAAAATTCGTAAACAAAAAAAAAAAATCGAACAAACAGAATAAATTTGGAATTTAAAATATCACAAATTTAACTTTAAAAACCGATAACAAACCAAATATAATAAATCTCCATGTATAAAATAAATAATATTTTTACGAGTAAATATTAGCACGAAAATATTATATATGAAAGAAACGTATCAAAAAAATACACGAAATTACGAAAAGAACGTATTATAATTGATTCGAAAAATAGAAATCGTATATCAATTTATATCTAAGCAGATTTACCTGTTTTCTTCTTCCTTGTAACCGTTGCTTGTTTATCAGGAAAATCAGGTTATTAAGTTACGTTTTATCCGAGGCCGCAAGGCCGGTATAACGATTCGAAAACAACGGTGTTTGGGCTCGAGGCATCTCTTATTAAATCTCGGGCATGAAATTATTATTAACCCAGGCGAATACGCGATATTCTTCGAGGCGCATATATACACGCTTCTCGCCTTTATCTAAAGTCTAGGGAAAATATTATCCAAACCGGTGTTCCGTATGCACGCTCGCCGTGCCCTAGAATACTCCCTCGAATTCAGATTCATCTATTCAGATTAATCCTCCCCCACCGGCCTCCACTCGGATATAAATTCACCCTTCTCATTTTCCGCAACCTTACGCGCGATACGATTAACCAACTGCGCAAACTTTTCATTCCTTCAACGTGCATTCTTTCTAAGATGCGCTTCATCGCGATTCCTTTTAAATCACGTATTTTTCGAGCATTGAATTTTACTCGTTGAGATGAGAGAATGAAAAATTGTACCTACGAAATTGAAAGAGAAATAATTAGAACGATATTGGTAGAATGAAATAATCAATGTGTTTTACAACTTGTTAATGCTGAAGAATATTAATAAATACTTGGGAAAAATATAGAAGCGTATATTTCTCGCGATATAAAATAGATTTCCAAGCAATTTTAAAATTGAAACGGATCGTTTAATTCTCCGTGGTGAAATGAAATTGACACGCCCCAAAACCCATCGGAAGAAGGGCGAAACTTTTCGATTAACGTTCCACGATCCACGATAATAACGAGTAACACAAACTCCCAGGGGTAGGGGGAGGTTGGTGGCCGATTAGACTTCGAAATCGGTTTCGACGGGGAGCACGGAATACGGCGGCGTTTCGAAGATATTGATTTCGAGGCACGATTGTGGAGCCACGGTGCTCCACAAACCTGGAGGCGAGGTGCTCGAGGGATAAATCCCTCGGGAGAGGGCGACACGAAGGGAGAAAACGTGAGAAATCGTGAGTGTGGGGTGGCGACCGGCTTATCTGCTATCTGCTCGGTTATTGAAAATCGAGTTGCTCGTCTCTTGTAGTCCGACTATCAATCGGGGAACAAAGTGTCGTCGAGGATGGAGGGATACCATAGATAGAGTAAAAAAAAAAAAGAAAACAAGAAAAAGGGGACGATTCTTCGAGAAGAAATGATTCGATCGATACGATGGCGTTGATGAAGATTATTTATATTTCCGTTGAAAGCGATTATTTAATTGTCATTCTCTTTTCTCCTTTTTTCGAAATTCAGATGTTCCATATTTTATTACGACCCAAAGCTTTGGAATTTTTTCTTCTATCGAGAGCAATCGTGGAGAGAAAGTTTAATACGAGAATTCTTCCACTTTAGTTCCCCTATTTATTTTCTTAAAAGACAGAGACTCGCTTCGTTCCGCAAAATATCGCAACGGTAAACGCAAATATGCAAGGAATCATCGGTAAGTCGACTCCTCGATCATCAATTCTATTTCTCTTTTCCCCCCCTCCGATCGATTTTCGTTGACGCATCCGAGCCGGATCCGAGCACGACGAGAGTCCGTCCGGTCATCGAAAACTCTTGAGCGGAAGGCGGGCGTGGGTGGATGGAAGACAAGAGTGATTTACACGGTCCATTGTGCGCAGGACTAAGGGAAGGGAGACATATTCGTAGCTCTAGCGGTATCTCAATTATAAGAGGTATCTAGCCTCTCGAACGGTTCGCCTATAATTATCCGACCTCGTCGGGTATCTCGGGGGAAGTCGAGGAACTTGAACCTATCGCAATAAACAACGGTTATAAAAAGACGCGCTCTCCGCGACGACGAGACGCGTGTTAGATAGCTGTAAAGGGAATATTGCAGATTGCTCCGCGGTGAACGGAGGTGACACGCCTCCTAAATTCCCTTATCAGGGCCCACGCGTCCGGGGCCGGTTAAGGGTTGAACGACGCACAAGGTTGGCGATATCGAGAACGTATATCGTAATATTATAAATCATATATGAAAAAAAGTTCGATAGAATCATACCATACGTTACATATAGAATGTTTCTCGGAAATAAATATATATCCTTTTCGAATAAGGCTGTCTTGAATTCTCTAGAGATCTCTTACTTTTATCGAATCGCTCGAATATTATTATACACCGAGAGGGGGGAAGGGAGGGGCGTATCAGTTTCTCCTGTCTCGTGAAATTGGAGAAACGACTTTCTAAGAAAGGATACGCGGTAAAGATTTCAAAAAAAGTGTCGGATGGAAGAATACAGCGTCTCCTCTAAATTGATTCTAATCTAATCACGTCTCTTGAAATGATATTTTCTCGATTCTCTCTCTTTCTCCTTTCATCCTCGTCTCCAGCGAAGCTGGATAGATCGGAGCTTCGACGAGAGTGAAATTTCGTCATCGACGCGAAAACTATTTCCTCGATAAATCACGAAAAGCGTGAAATAGACTCCACCGTTCCAATATTCGTCCAAAAAAAAAAAAAAAAAAAAAGAAAAAAAAACGAAACGAAACAAAACACCTTCTGTTTCCTCCGTCTGATCGGCCAGCAACCACTCTGGCAACGTCCAACGAGGGGGTCAAGCAAAAAAAGTGTGCGACAGTCACGGAATCGAGTGACCACTCCCCTGCTCCGTGGTCAGGTGGATGCAAATGAACGGGAGATAGCGGCCGCTGTATTCAACTACGATTCCGCATTCAGAAACCAGAGAGGATTTAGACGTTGGCACGATTCGAGCCGACTTGACGGCCTGTCACACGACAAAAAAAAAAAAAAAATAAAAAGAAGGTGGCCAGGGGACAACCGCGTGGGTTGCACAATTGGACGCGGAGGACAATTATCTTAGCTACCTTAGACAATGGGGTTTCCAGCGGAGGAAAAGTCTTATCGTGGGCCGATCGTGTTACTCGCTTACACGTCCAGCTTACATCTTGTCCCTCCCCCTCCTCCTCCTCCTCCTCCTTTCCAGTTTCTGTAAACCTCGTAAAGTACTTTTCGGTGCTCGTTTCTCTCTTCTCGCGGGCCAGCGGACGCGAGCCATTCAATTACCACCACCATCAAGCTGTGCGCCGCGGAGTGAAGCGGAACGGAAGTTTTACGACCGATCCTGTAACACCGGATCCAACCGTGTTATCGTGTGTACGATATCCCGTGTACAAACGGCGAAAAACAATGTTGTACGCGTATATCGAATATAATACTTGATCCGTTCGAAGTGGGGAAAAAAAGAGGAGAAAAGAAAAAGGGGAGCTAATTTTGGGCTAATGCCCTGATGACAGTTGCCAAGATTTGATAATTTTGGTTTTGGGAAATATATTATATCGAATATAATACTTGATCCGTTCGAAGTGAAAAAAGATAAAAAGAAAAGAAAAAGGGGAGCTAATTTTAATAAGGGGGCTAATGCATTGATGACAGTTGCCAAGATTTGATAATCTCGGTTTTGGGAAATT